CCATAGCCAACCACCTTGCACCTTCCTCCTCCACCTCCACCTACACCCATCCACCATAGCCAAGCACCTTGCACCTTCGTCCTCCACCTTCACCTACACCATCCGCCATAGCCAACCACCTTGCACCTTCCTCCTCCACCTCCACCTACACCCATCCACCATAGCCAAGCACCTTGCACCTTCTTCCTCCACCTCCACCTACACCCATCCACCATAGCCAAGCGCTGTGCACCTTCTTCTTGCACCTTCACCTACACCCATCCATTATAGCTCACCACCTTGCACATTCCTCCTCCACCTCGGCCTACACCCATCCGCCATAGCCAACCACCTTGCACCTCCCTCCTCCACCTCCACCTACACCCGCCCACCATAGCCAACCACCTTGCACCTTCTTCCTCCACCTCCACCTACACCCATCCACCATAGCCAACCACCTTGGACCTTCTTCCTCCACCTTCACCTAAGGCCACCCCAGCCATAGCCAAGCGCCATGCACCTTCTTCCTCCACCTTCACCTACACCCATCCACCATAGCCAACCACCTTGCACCTTCTCTCTCCACCTTCTCTTTTCACCACCCAAGGGTCGTACGCACGGGAAGGGCTCCAAGGGGGCACGAGGGATCTTAGGTAGGCTGGTAGGATGGGTAGAGAAGTAGGATTGATTAGGATAAGGGAAACTTTACTCTCCCTCTTTCTCTCTCTCTCTCTCCCTCCCTCTCCCTCTTCCTCTCTTTCTCTCTCTCTCCTTCTCTCTCTCTCTCTCTTTCCCTCTCTCTCTCCCTCTCTCCCTCCCTACTTCCTTTTTTTCCTATGCGCCTAACCTTTACACCTCTCTCTCTCCCCCTCCTTGGTACATGACTAACTATCCCCCTCACTTGTTACATTGCCAGGGAACGAACGACAAAAAACTTGGTCCTCACTTGGTGGAAAGAGAAGGCAAGGGGAGGGCTGCCGGTCCCTTGTGCCACCGAGAAGGAACGGACCGTGACCCTTGTGGAAAGACTTGGAAAAGCGGAATCCTTTGAGAAGGCTAAAAGAGTGAAAGCTTGAGATAAGGTCAGTTTGACTCAACCATTTTCCACGACTGCATGACTAAGGAAGAGGCATGGCTTGCTCGAGGGAAGGGGAAGAAAACCAAGAGGACCATAGGAAGAGAGAATAACTTATTGACCCCAATGGGGATTGTACTTGGCTTTTGTCTTGTGTGGTCTTGCGCAGGTGAGTAGCTTAGGATGGTTTGATCGGGACTGTGTCCGCCGGATGCGGGCAGAAATGGGGAGAATGACAAGGGAAGGACATGGGCCTTGCATAAACTATGGATGCGGGTGGGACTTGGTGATCGTGTGCTCGACATGGCTTGTGTGATGAATGCGTATCTTGATTCTCTGCGTGCATTGTGGAAGCCTGAAAAGACCAAGGGCGGCAATGGATATGCGGGTAGGATGGCTGTCGAGCAAAAAAATATAGGGGGCTAGGGGCATGAACGGCGCGACCGCACCCCGATGATGCCATAGAGGTTGCCGTGCTTAGTGAAAAGGTGTGTGGCCCAATGGATGACGCTTGGCCTACACACGAAAGAAAACGAATTTTCAACAAACTCCCTGGACTGCCTGTGTATTCGAAGGAGCAATTGCCTGGTCACACTTAAGTGAATCAAGAAAACGCCACGAGTGATCAAAGAGCTACCATCTAACGCAAGAGCGGAGCTACATCCCCCAATGTAAAGCCCTCTCGCAAAAGGCCCATCCCCATCCATCTCATAGCACTAGGTGGGGGTGCCCTTGGGACGAACGACCCGCCCCCTGAGCATGAGCGTGGGCGGGTCGAGCCAAGTAGGACCTGCAGTGGGCTCGACTCAGGCTCGAAAGTCCTTCAGGGTACGACCCCTACAAAAATAGTGGAGGTGTCGGGTATGGGTTAAACTGACCCATAGGGTCTCGAGGGGGGTGCCCGACGCATGATCGTGAACACAATATTAAGACAAGGAACGAGGACTTGTGTATGCTCTACTCCCTTGAGAGATTCAGATTTGAGGGCGGTTGGGCGCATGACAAGGCCAGGCCTGGAGGTATAACATGCATGTTCCACACATGATCAACCATCTCCCTTGCGAGGTGACTCTAGTCCTCCTTCCCTCGGGCTGATGTTCCTCAGGCCGGGGAAGCCTTGGGCAAGCCGCAGGTCGACCCTTCCTCTTCGTGTGAAAGAAGCGCTCTGGTTACCTGGCAGGCGGTTGGAATTCTGGGCCAGTCCGGGTTCCGATGAAAATCCCGCGGCGGAGCGATCCGACCGACTCGGGTACTTTCCCCTTTCTTCTTCGGAGCCCAGCGGGTTCCTTGCACCACACTTGAAATGCTTGAAGGAACCCCATATGAACAAAACGGGTAACCAAGAAGGAACCATCCTGCCCTATGAACGGACACACAAGCAAAGATAAGGGAATGAAAGGAGTTGCTAGACTCCAAAAAAAAACTAGCTTACCTTTGAAGATGCTCACGAAAAGGAACCGGACACTGTGTATGAAAATTAGGGGTGAGTGGCACACACGGTTCTGAGAGAAAAACTGTAAGCTATGGGCAGGAATCGCTGGGTGCACCAAGGGAAAGACACTTGTATTATGTGTGTCCCACTTGGGACTTGTGCTTGCATGATGGGGATTCGAGCGTCCTGCCTTTCGGAAGGAAAGGATTGGTTTGCACCGGCAGGTGCGGGTTGCAAAAAGTTGTTCTCTTTGAAGTTCGCCGGGTTCCGTGCGCGGGGGTCGGGCCACCGGGCTGTCAGGCAGGAGTTGGTCTCGTCGGCTGGTTAGTAACATTCTCATTCGGGCGGTCCGAGCATGGATCGATGACCTTGCCCAGGCGGGGTGTGAAACGCCTTCAGGCGGGGCGGCTGATTGTCGGCAGACGGCAGGGGGACCACTCCGTATGGGGCAAGGAGGGAGCCTCGGAGGCGATTAGTAGCTTCTCGTAGCTTGGTTTAGGAAAGGCTGATTCTTGTTGGACCGATGGAAGTGAATGCCCGGACGGGTGACTTTTGTCCCTGTATTTAGGCACACGGGGTAACCCTCGGTGTCGGTATGGATGTGCAAAAGCGGCAATACGGGATGGGGTATTCTGGGTACAAGGAAAGGGCTAACGTCTTGCCGGAGCCTGGGTACCGCGCTCACAACGGTTGAGCTGTGCTTGAGGTACGGGATAAAACTCTGCTGATAGTAACAGTGGATAGACCACTTTGGGGAAAAGTCGGTGAGGAGATGACCGGCCTGTGTGCGAAGCTTGCCTGATTTTCTTCTTTTGTGTCTCCCTCCGTAAAGTTTGCTTGAGAATGTTGGGCGGGGAACTGAGCTCCTAAGTCTATTCTCGCCCCCTGTCTAAGTCCGCACGAGTGAGAGAAGATGTGGGTAAGCATGGATGGGAGTCGAAAGGAAAAGAACCAGGAGAAAGGAATGTCGACTGGTGATGATCGATTGGGAGTACAATGGGGACAATGGTGCCGGGGAAATGGGCAGGGAAAATTAGGAGACCCGGGTGAGGGGTCTGAAACAATTCTCATCTAGACAGGGAGACAGTCTGACCAAGAGGGGGCCGTGTGGTGCTCTCTTATGAAAACAGGACCGGAGCCGGAAAACGGAATGGCGCGGTGGTTCTCGTTTCCTACCTATTCTAGTGGTCCGAAAATGCCAATAGACGTAAAGGAGGGGGTATCTGTCATTCTCCCAGAAAAAGGAACGTGGACAGACCTGGAGTCAGCCTACCAAACTGTGATGCTGGACGAAAAGGACGCGTTCCTCTGGATAGAGACAATCTGGACCAAGGTTAGCTTGACGAGACTGTCGCCGAGCGTGATGGACTTAGAATTCCGGGGGACGGTGGAAGCCCGAGGGTGGGTCTACCTATCCCAGGAGATGGAAAATGCAATGGTAATAGAATTAGTACTGGGAATGGCGCCGGATTCGCTGTTTAGACAAGCGGAACGAGAAGTGGTATGGGCAGCGTGTCAACGGGTGGAAGTGGAAATGAATAAGATGGAGGTGCGAGTGGAGCTCGGGGATAGGGGAAACGTGAGACGACCTCTTAGAACGATGAGGTGCGTGCTACCCCCGTTTCTGGTGGATGCAGTCTTTGGAACCAGGGGCAGATTGGAACAAATATGCCAGTCGATGACACACTTGAGGTTGTACCAGTGTGCTCGACAGGACTTCTTTAGTCTGTCGGTAGAAATGGGGCCGTTCGGAGGGAACTGGGCGGAGGAATTAGCTGAAGTATTGAACCTCCTCAGCGCGGACGATGTCTTTGTACCTAGTTCAGTGCATTGGCAAATAATCTATCGAAGTGTGGCAGTAGGGGAGACCTTCCTAGAAGGGCTGAAAGGGTTGTTCTTTGATGGGGAGAAGGACTTCAGTGATGATGAGGACGAGGACGAGATGGAAGATTGGGACTTCAGAAAAGGGGGGGACTTACCCGGGGAATGGCATGTCGGCTATGTGCAGATAGGGAACGATGGCCCGGGAACTCCAGCTGTGGGACTGCATGTTCAAAGGATGGGAACCAAGGCGAATTAGAGGGGGAGTAGAAATGCCCTTGCCGGCGGAATGTGAGTGGAGAGGAGCGACGTGTGACTGGGTCGAGCTTGAGATCGCATCGGAACTGTCGTATCTGTGGATAGAACGCATCTGGAACCCCATTAAGGAGGAAGATGGATGAGAAGGTATTGCAGAAGGAAAGGTGGAATCGGTTGGGACGGTCGTCTTGTCGGAACAGGGGTGGCATCTGTTCTGCACCACACTAGCAGCGGGGCAAAATCCGATGTGGCTTCTGGAGGGAGCGGAGACAAGGACTCGGAAGGCGGGTGAAAGGTTTGCCAATAAGGGATGGGATGAGGTCCACAGTAAGGTGGTAATGGGGGGATGGAAAAAATTTAGGCCTCCCTGCCTGTGAAAGAGGATTTGCGTCCCCGAGTTCGTAGCGGACTGGTTTTGGGGTTTTGATCATGTTGCGGAAGTGGCTAGCACTATGGAACGGGTACACATAGACAATACATGGCTGTCAAAGGAGTTTTATAAAACATCACTGAAGTACGGGCCTTTCCATGGCGATAGAGCTTGGGAGGTCCTCATCATCTTGAATATGGATAGGTACGACCAATTAGAGGTAGCTCCGGAAATTAGGGAGGCTATAATCTGCTGGGAGGTAGCGGCGACACCTTGCTATGTGGATGATGTGTTTAAGCTGTTCGAGGTACTGTGGTTCGACTAAGAGCAGGGAAAGCTGCGGGCCAGGCAAATGTGGAATACTACTGAGATAAGGTAGTGGGATGCCTGGCCATTGTAGGGATCATTGCAGCCTGCGGACCAGAAGACCAAGAAAAGGCGCGCGATGGCGCGAAGGAGGACGTTCCTTGAGGACCGCCCACTGGGCATTGAGCCGCCAAGGGATGTGGCTGGTGGAATAAAAATTAGTCTGCCTGCCGCGAGTGAGGGCTGGCACCCGGTGGTGGACTGGGTCGGGGCTGAGCTCATGGAAAACACGGTCTACCTAGTAACGAGGGTTGAATGGCGTGCGGATGAAAACGTGCGTGCGTGCGGAACCTGGACTCACGGGGACACGTGCGTGCGGAAGGTTGGTTATATACGTCCGAGGACGGGTGGCGGGCGTTCGGAGTCCTGTTGGCATCAGGGGAAGATCCGTTAAGTATGTTCGAGGGAGCATGGCAACTAGTGTGGCAGGCGGGGTTCGAATTCGCAGACCCATAACTTGATGACGTGATAGCTAACCTTAGAGTAGCCATGGTCGGAAGCTTCGAGCTGCCTAGTGAAAACGTTCGGATGAGATTGCCGCCCTTTTTGCTAGAAAGGTTAGGCGGGGTGGAGCTTGTCAGGAGGGTTGTGGCCGACCTCGCCAGCCTGACTTTTGAGGACGCGATGGTTCACCGAGAGTATTACCGCGCCTTCCTAGAAATGGGGCCATTCAGCGGCGAACAGAGGTATGAGGTGTTGCGGATCCTGCGCGCCGTATTTACCACTAGGCCAAGAACTCCAGTGGTTAGCGATAAGGTCCTATGGGGCGTTGTTCGACGAGAGATAGGCCGGGGAATGGCTTACATAGATGACCTGTACCGCTTGTTTAAACCGACGGAGGTAGTGACGGATTGATGAAAGAGACAAGAAAAGAGACGGGGATAAAAAAGGGGAAAGGATATCGAAGTTAAGGATCGGGGAGTTGCTCGGGTGAGGCCGAAGAATGGATGAAATAAGCAAAACTCGCTTGCTGTTTAAACTGTGCAGGGGACCGCTAATCAACAATGGCGATGAGATGCACACGGATGTCGCGACGGCCCACGCACCCTCGGCCACCCACAGAAAGTGGAGGCGGATGGGAGGTATCGCTCCCGACAAGTTACATGGTCCGAGGAATTGACACCAAATGGAGAGCCGTGATCTTGGGAAGGGACCAGGCGTTCATGATGGTAGAGTGCTTGTGGAGTGGGATGAGGTTCGATAGGGGACCAGGGGACGACCTGTATACCGACCTGAAGGTGACAGGAACCGTATACCTGCCGGAGGTCGGATGGCACATGCTAGGAATGGAGTTGGCACTAGGGCATGGACTGTTACCAATCTTCCAAAGGGCTACTAGGATAGTGGACCGGATAGGCCAGGAGGTGCGAGGAAGAAGGAACGTGGGATTGAGAACCCGGGTGGAGGTAGGAGGATGGCGAGAGTTTAAGGCCCCAATGACGGGATTGCGGTGCTGAGTGCCTCGCTTCATGGTGGACTTAGTATTTGGCAACTTCTCAAGGGCAAGAAGCCTGGTGGAGTCGACTTTAGTCTGGAACCACTACTTTCGTCCGCAGACGACGGGAATGTTTTACGATGTGTCAGTTAGGCACGGGCCGTTTTGGGGAAACCAGGCCCATGAACTACTCGAACTCATCGAAATCTTGATATTCGGGTTACCACGCATGACGTTTGAGGAATATGAACCAATAATTATTAGGGAAATAAAATGGGAGAAAACTATCTTGCAGGGGTGGCCGATCTGTTTGAAGAACCGGATGAGCGAGACAGACCTCAGGGACCGGCGTGAAAAAAAAAAAAAAAAAAAAAAAGAAGTACCGGAAAAAAATAAAAGGTGGAAAACCGGAACGAGAAGCTAGCCGTCAGCAAGGGAGTAGTGGTCGGAGTTCCGCCCTACATGAGGTCGTGGCAGGAGGGAACTGGGAAGACTACCCGCGCTGAAGGAGGCTGGGGCATCCGGGTGTCAGAAAGTCAAAGGGGCTACCCTCGAGGGGAGAGCCACTAGCCTCAGACACCGCCCTAAGGAACCGGGGCGCGACAGTGACGGAACGCCAGACCTCGGCAGCGAGCCTTCTGGCAGAAGAAAGACAAAACGGCGCCTTGTAGGAAAATTGTCAGGTGGGTCGTCACGACAAAAATAAGACGGCAAAACATGGAAATAAGTAAGAATAAGGGGACCTTAGGACCCGGGAGCTAGGGAAGTCATGAACAACCGACAGTTTCGCAAAAAAAAAATTTTTTTTCCATGTGCAGGGTAGGTAAAGGGACGGCGTCAGAAGAGGAGGCCGAAGGGTTGCGGAGCAAGGGTAGTCAGGGCACGGATAGAGGCGGGGAACGGAACGAAGGGTCGGTAAGGGATCAAGAGTCTGCAAAACCCGAGGGGACAGGGAAGACGAGAAGGACCTTTCCACAGGGGAAAGTTCGGGGAAAGCCGGGGGAAGCAAAAGAGGACCCTAGCAAAGCAGGGAAAAAGTGGACAACGGTAGGACGAGTCCTCGAAATTCTGACGGAACCACACCCAAGAAAATGAAAGTCTCGGATGCACGTCGTAAGCTGGCAGAAATAGAAAAAAGGACCGCAGAATATAAGGCAAGGCTTATCAAAGAGATGATGGTTGGGAACGAAGGAGACCTTTTGGGAGAAGGGTCGCGAGAAGAACGCAGGGTCAGTCAGGGCGAAGTCAGGCTCAGAGGGAAGGACAATAGCCATAGGGGCACGCCCAGTAAGAAGGGTAAGGAAAAGGGGGACTCCCCAGCCGTAGAGGCGGAAAAGGCAACGACCCCACCTGCCATAGACAGTGGTACCAGCCGTTTGCCCGCCACGCCGAAAGCAACCAAGGCGTGCGACGGACTTTGGAGTCTCAGGGAAAGGGTGTTAGGATGGTTTGATCCGGAGGGTACGCCAAAGGTCGGGGAAAAGCAGAGGGATACCAAGGAAGGAGAAGGGACCAGTGCGGTTGGCGAAACGGGGAACTCTGAAGGGGGCCTCAAGAGGATAGTAGCCACCCTCACTCGGGCGTTGAATAAGAATTAGGGGTATATTGCGGATGCCAAGAAAAAACTTACTTTCGACGGGGCAAACATTACGGAGTTCCTAATTGACTACGAGAACCTGGCGGCCTTGCTGAAATGGACTGAGGAAGAAAAGATGGACCACTTAGGGCAGCACGTGTCGCTAAGCTTAGAAAGGGACATTATGGCTATTGTCGCCTCCAGTGGATCCTAGAAAGAGACCCGCAACGAGATGATGAGAAAGTACCTGAAGGCTGAGAAAATGGCAACAGAAGCCGAGTTGGCGGCAGTTCAAAGGAAAAACTATGCCACTTACAACGACTTCCTAAGGGCATTTACTCTAGTGGCACTACGAATTCCCAAGGTAACAGACCGTATAATGAGTAAGTACTGACAAGGATAAGATCTTGTCGGCCTACCAGCAGACTAGTAAGTTCGAGTACACAAGGGATGTGGATTTCAGCACGGTAACAGACCTCGCAGAAAAGACAGTAGTGACCGAGACACTAGCCCTGCTCAAGGAAGGAGAGGTTATAGACTTGACTGGGAAGACGGGGGACAAGGTCAAGAAGGGGATAGAGAGCCTGCACGAACGGGTGCACGKGGTTGATAACAAGATAGAAAGAGTGGAAAATGCGCTATTAGTAATGCAGGCGCAGGTGTCCCGACCCGCCTTCCCGCCTCAAGAAGCCGTAGTTCCGGTGGCATTAGCAAATCGAGGGTACGACAGAAGGGATCCGGCCAATGAGCGATGCAAGTATTGCACAATGGTCGGACATTTCGTACGCACCTGCCCAAGACTCAACCATGATATCATGAGGCAGAGATGAAGCAGGTCCCTCAAAGGTGAAATTTTCGGGCCTCAAGGAGAGCGCATGAATTGGAATTCGCAATGAGGGATGCGACGTGCCATCATCCTCCTGAACAATCTGGATATAGCTGCCGTAGAAGCCGAGCCGGTAGCTGACATTGTCTGGGACCAACTGAGGGGACGCGGACCACAGGCGAATTTCATCCTAGAAGGTAGTGGACTAGATAGGGTGAACATCACCACCCGGAGGGCAGGGGCGAAAAAGAAAATTATTCGAGATACGGTAATGGAAGAGGTCGCGGGGACTAGCGCAGATCAAGGAGAAACCGAGACCGAGAAACGGAAAAAGCCTACGGGAAAGCCAGGGAGGAGGAGCCGGTAGACAAGGTAGTGGCAACAAAAAAGAAGTTTAGGTACCAAATTCCGATCCTGATACTGCCCGAGATTGAAGATACCCTGAGTAAATTGCTAGGTACCATGGTGTCTGTATCTTTTCAGACCATGTTGCAAGCAAGCCCAAGATTGCTTAAAGGACTCAGGCAATTACTAACGCGTCGACGCGTGGAGGTAGAGGAGGCTCCGGAGCCACAGGAGCAGAAAACGGAAGAGGCTGAGGCACCGCAAGGGGTCTCCAACCTCCAGAGGATCCCAGGGGATCTGGAGAACCTGGAGAAGGCCTTTGCAGACATCCGCCTAAGCCTACCGGACCGAGAGGGTGGAGAAGTCATGAGGGCGCCACCCGGGACAAAGCTTAGCTTCCATGCATTGCCCGTAGGAAAGCTGAAGGTCCAGATCGGAACCCACCACACAGATGCATTAGTGGACGGTGGTGCGGAAATTACCCTCATACGATGAGACTTTGTAACAATTACCGGCTGCACCGTAAACAAGGAAGTGACAGGGAGTATCCGGGGAGCTGGCAGGGAGATTCCCTTCACAGGGTACGTCACGAAATGCGCGGTCAGGGCAGGGATCAGGGAATCAATTTAGTCCTTCCAGCGGATGACCGTGATGGAAGAAATGGACCATGACATAATTCTCGGAAGACCGTGGTGCGCCAATGTAGAGATGATAGGTATGCATCTGCATGATGGCACATACATGGTGGATATAGAGGACCCCGTGACCGGCCGTGGAGAACTCCTCCGACTCCTTGGGACAGGAGGGGATCCCCCGAAGGACAAATTGGCAACCTGGTCGCCAACGTTCGAAGAGAGTGCGCGAAAGGGGGCATTCGCACAGATGGAAAGTATGAGCGAAAAAGTAGAGATCATGATTGAGGAGGCCTTTAGCAAGAAGGAGTGGATCAAGGTGGGTTTACCTCTGAAGAAGAGAAGGCAAGAGGACGAGGTCCTGGAAGTTATGGTGGCAGAAAAAGAGTCAGAAGTCGAACTTGGGGCCAGCCTGCCCAAACCAAAGGAAGGCAGGAAGGAAACGCTGGAGGTGGTGCTTGAAATCCCTGACTTGTTACAAGTCGTTAAGGCCATCAAGTACCACAAAGTGGGGGTGGACCCGACAACGCTTGCCAAATTCGAAGACGGGGTCCGAAAGGGTTACTGTCTCAACGGGAAGCTAGTCAGTATCCAGCCCCGCGTCCTGGAGGTAGCAAGGCCGATCCCGACCGTTCATTTTTTAGGAGAACGATCCCAGAAGGGAGCGTGCGAAAGTACAAACCCGTAGGGAAGAAAGCCAAGCCGGTCTCGATCCTAGTGGAAACATCAAGGGAGGAGGCCATGGAAAACGAGGAAGAAATCCTGCGGATAATAAGGGAGAGACGAGCAGCGGAAGGGCACCGGATACCTGATGAGATAGCAGATACCATGAAGATAGGAGTATAAGGGTTCCTAACGGCGGAAGAGACTCAGTTGATAAGGAGGGCATGCCTGAAATTTCACCTAGCCTTCGCCTTCAATGACCACCAGAAGGGTCGATTGGATGCGAAGCTAATTTCCCCAGTTAGGATCCACACGTTGGAACACGAATGCTGGAATGACAAGGGGCCCGCCTACGAGTTCGGAATAGCTGCGGAAGTCACTGATTTGCTCAGAGCCAAGATAGATTCGTTCGTGGCCGAACCCACCGCATCCCCCTACGCGAACAAGTGGTTCGTTTTTCGGAAGCCCAACAAATCGCTCAGATGGATCCAGAACTTGTAGAAGCTGAATGTGGTTACGATCTGGGATGCGGGATCACTTCCACAGACCGACCTATTGGCAGAGTCTCACGCCGGACGAAGCATTTACTCCCTGATAGATTTATATTCAGGATATGACCAACTACCGCTCGACGCGAGGGATAGACCGTACACCGCCATGCTCACCCCTGTAGGTCAGCTGCAAGTGACTCCTATGGGCTTCACAAATGCTGTGGCGGAGGCACAGAGGAGGATGCTTGTGGTCGCAGGGGACATGTTCCCGGAAAAATGTGAGCCCTACATAGATGACAATCCCATAAAAGGCGCGCAGAACAAGGATGAGACAGAGGTCCAGCCGGGCATACAAAAGTTCGTTTGGGATCACCTACAGGATTTCAAGGACCTACTTCAGCGGTTCCTGGTATATAATATTACCGCAAGCGGACCTAAAAGCATACTGGCGGTCCCAGAAGTGACCATACTGGGGTTTCACTGTGGGGCCTATGGAAGGAAACCTGACCCGACAAAAACGGATAAGATCTCTCAATGGCCAACGCCGCTGCGCACCACGATGGAAGTACGAGCCTTCCTAGGGGTGGTTGGATTCTGGAGAATTTTTATCAAAGGCTTTGCCAAGATAGCTGAACCTATCCGCGCAATGATTAGGGAAGGAGGGACCATGGAGTGGACTGAGGATAGAGAGGCGGCAGTCCAGACCCTCAAAGACGTCTTGTCCTCCGGCCAAGTCACCTTGGCAGCGCCCTGCTTCAATGATGTAGGACGACCCTTTATCTTGGAAACAGACGGAGGACCTCTGGCAGTAGGTCGAGTCCTGATACAGAGGAGCGAGGAAGGTAAGGAGAGGCCTATCAGATTTGAGAGCGGGACCCTGAATTCGGCAGAGCGGCGGTACTCACAATTCAAGAAAGAGGTCTTAGCCACTCTACATTGCCTTAAGACTTTTCAGGCATACCTATTCGGGAGACGGTTTATCCTGAGAATCGATCCGACCAATGTTGCAGGGGCATTAAAGAACTACAAGCCTATAGACCTGACCGTTGGGAGATGGATAGGCTTCATATGGCAATTCGACTACAAGGTCGAGCGAATTGCGGGGCTCCGAAATAGGGCGGACGGGCTAAGTCGGGTTAGCATCACGCCGGAGGGAGTAGAGGATGCGGAGCCAATTGACGCCTTCCTAGAGTATGAAGGGGGGACCCTTGTTGTAGACAACGAGATGGCAGGCGCCGCTCCTACAATGGATCAACTGCTGATTCGGACCCTGGAAAAGGGCACGCCTGCGATAATTGCGGAACTCAGGGAAGGACCAGTCACCACGATTACGCACAAAGATGAGAAGGATTCGTGGGGGGCAACGATCGGGCTGAAAGAAGAGCTGATGGCCATGGCCGTTGAAGGGGGTCGAGATGTTGTGATGAATCTAGTAGAAACTTGGACACGAAGAGAGCGGCACTATCTAGTGAATCAGGCTCAGGAGGGGCAAGACACCGATCAGAAGGGACGAGAATTCTTCCTTATACAGATGTATGATGGCATCTTTAGATAAATCGGTCTGCTGCTTATAGGAAACAAGCAGCCTATGGAAGTCAGCCTCAAGGCAAGGGAGGAAGCTGGGAAGTACGTTTTGAGGAACGGTCACTTGTTCAAGAAAGAAGAAGGAATGATGCCTGGCGTGTCGTGTGCGGAAGGTCCAGGTAGTTGGACATAATTCAGGCAATGCATGAGGAGGGCACCGGTCATCTAAAGGGACTCTTGCAAAAATCGCGCCGCTTTACTTCTGGTCAGGTATGGCAGGTATGGTGGCTACGTACTGTCAAACGTGTCTGATATGCCAAGAAAGGAGCTCCGAGCGCGTCTTCGAGCCCCTTAGACCTACCCGGGTACTAGGGTCGGGGCACCTGGTCCACCTCGACCTGGCGGTCATGCCTGTATCCACGGATGGATACAAGTACATCTTGGATGCAAGAGATATCCTCAGCGGCTACGTAGAGGCGGTAGCTCTTAAGAGAAAGACGGGAAAGGGAGTGGCCGATTGGATAGAAGAGAAACCTTAGGCACCCCTTTGTGTGCAGGTTCATAGCGGACAATGGGACGGAGTTCGTCAACCAGGAGGTGTTGGGCAGGCTTAAGGCGCTATGCATACCTATCAAGATCATCAAACCCTATCACCCTGAGGCCAGTGCACCAGTAGAAAGGGGGCACCAGACCTTGAAAAACACAATCGCTAAGTTAGCTGCCGATGACCTGGGGAACTGGCCTCGGTACCTTAAACCACCAGTACCCCGCCCAGGCAAAAAATTCCGATCTCCTGAATTCAAGGAAGAGCTGGGAAGGCCTGGTGGAGGCTCGGTAGAGCCTCGAACAGGCACTGGTGGTCGCTCGTTTTCAAAACGGAAACGAGCGACCAGCACAAAAAAAAGAAAACAAAAATGCCATAAAAAAAAAAAAAAAGCGAAAGGAGAGAAAAAATAAACGAACCGCCTTTAAGAAAGCCACGGATGGCGGCGTCAAGTTCGGAACTAGGGCCTTCGGGCACTACTGTACACAGTTCAAAATGAGAATGCATATTTGCTAGGACAGCGGTACTATACAGAGAAAATGAGCATGACTCTGCGCAGGGAAGACAAAACTTCACACTTTGTCGTTTCTGCATGTGGTGTCTACGGCAACGAGGCTGCTGATCTCTGCCCTGCTATTCAAAAAAAAAAAAAAAACGGAATGAACATGCTCGTGGAAGATGGCTCGATACAGAGAAGATTAGCATGGCCCTGATCAAGGATGGGATGACGCGCATAAATCGGGAAATGGTCAAAATTCGAAAAAAAAAAGAAGAAAAGATCCAGCTAGATACGTTTTGTCTTTTGTTGATGTCTGCAGCAGCGAGGTGCCTCGTCTCTGCCTTCGTATTCAAAAAAGAAGTAAAAAAAAAAGAAAAAGCAAAAAAAACAGAATGAACATGTCGGTGGAAGATGGCCCAATACAGAGAAGATTAGCATGGCCCT